TGGTGTCTTAGTTTCCAAGTCAGCATCAGGTAGAGAAACCCTTTGCAGCAGAAGCTGGAAGACAAATTGAAAGTACTGCAAAGGCAAGGACTGTGAGTGAGCTTGATGGTATGAGGTATATTAAGCTGTTGTGGACAAAGATTTCAACAATTCATTCCAGACAAGCCTCTCACTGCCTGTTCTTACTGTGCCTCCCCTAAGGCACACATAGATAAGTTCTTTCAACACTCAGAATAGCACTTGTGGCAGAGACTTCAAGCTACTTTATTCGCCATTCTTTGTCATGCTCATGATGGCATCTTACAACCCTCACATTTGCAAGTGTGTTCATTACACTAGCAGATGTACAAAGGGAGTAAAATAAACAGTGGTTCATTTTGATCCATGTAGTTTTCTAAGGACCCTTTTCTTTCAGTATCATGGAGGTTGCCAAAGTTAGGCTTCAGAGACATTTTAAATGTTTTATTTTAAAAATATAACAGCTATTTGTAACAAATCTGTCAGTGTGATTATTTGTACTGGGCTTGTCTGTGTTGCTGAACAATGTGATATTTAAAAAGTATAAGGTGATGCTTTGCTTCAAGTCTTTCACTTCAAAAGTATCTAAGACAAATGTATAGTGCTGTATTTTGACATTCACATTGCCTGGCAGTAGGTCTTTTTAGAGCAGCCAACTAAGTGGGGCTTAGCCTTTCATTTCTGCACAGAGCATATGTAATGGACAGTGGTAGACATTATCCTATTGAGTGACAGTACTGTGTATCTTCCTAACTTGGCTTTTGAATAAGTTTCTTCATCTGCTATACAAATGTACGTTTGTATTGGTGTTCTGTACTGTAATGATAGCTTGTACACTGGTACACAGACTTACTGAGCATAGCCCTTGTAATCACATAACCAATGCACTCTGGCAATTGTTCACCTGCCTCTTATCCTCTATTCCTTAATACCTTAGTTGACACTGATACAAGTGTCTATGGAAAAGAGATGCAAAGCTGAAAACATCTTTCCATCGCGAAAGATAATTCAGACTAAAGAGAGAATATGTTAATAGCACTCAAGGAAAACAAAACAGAAACGAGAAAAACACCCACCCAACCAAATAAAATACACCCTCTACCCCCCACCCCAAAGAAGGAACTCTCTATTACTGCTGAGAGTTTATTTGATGGTATTTTGGGGAGAAAAATAACCTAGTTAGTAAGGAATACCTAGTTGCTTGTCACCAGCCAGATTAGCAGTTATTCCTCAAGATTAGCACTTAATCTAAAAAAAAGCTTTTTTTTTTTTTTTTTTTTT